GCTACTTATAAATGATTAAAAATGTCATAATTTGAATTAAGGTTAACACATTGCTAGAAATAGATAAAATAGTTGGTTGAAAATGTGAGACCTAAGCCAATGGCCCTCATTAAAATCTGAACTTTGAATTTGATCATAAATACATTCCACCACGCGCTGCACAGTGACTTTGGACTATTTGGTTTGTAATTAGTATAAAGGAAGTATTTAAAGCAAGAAACGATCCCAAGAAAATAAAAAGTAATATAATTATGAGATACTTGATTGTCTCCAAAGCAAGGCTTGGAAAAACAGCTACTAAACCTTCTTGGGATTTTCGCGTTTGATTGGACGGCCGCAATTTTATATGCATTATTAGCATTCCTATTAGCTTTCATAATTTTGGGTTTTGGTCTTAAATCTTAATAATATCAAACAGTTGGAGACGCAGTCGCCATAGCTGGGGCTCGATGGCACATGTGAATCGTGACCTTCAAAGCCCTTCAGATTAAGTCACTTGATTCAATTGCACTCTTCCTTTCTGTTTTCTGTTTTTGTTTTTGTGGTTTATTATCCTTTCGATACGGGTCTACCCTCTGCTTATCATTATATATTAAAGGACCTCTGAGGCTCTATTTGGAGTGATTTTCTTTGACGTACAATCTAATCAAGCCATGAGATGAGATGACCAACCACAAGTGTAGGCTTAGGCTTCGGCTTAGCTAGCTATAGTAAGTATGCCACATGCATGATAGCTCAGTATATGACTCCGTGTACCATAGATATTTCATGGAAACTCCATTTTTCGTATGGTTCATGCATTTTCATATTCAATCCATCGATATCATGATCATGTCATGTTCTTTGCTTGAATGCAGTAAGGCTATATTCTCTGTCTTCCGCACCATGAACAAAAGAATTAGGGGTGATCAGTGGCGGAGTCGGAAATTTTATCACTAAGGGTCAACCTTAAATAGCAAGAGTAAGAATTTTGCCTAATTGATTGGCTCATTCGATTAAAAAAATCAGGAAAAATCTTAGGAATTTTGAGGTGTGTTTATGTGTTAGAAAAAAGATACTACTAGAGCCAAGAGGGATTTTGTAGTGTACTTTAATTGTTATAGGATTTAAATAGTAAACAAAGAAAATGAGAAAATGAGAAAGTTAGTAATAAACTCAAAAGATGAGAAAGGTCAGCCATGTAATATAGAAAGTAATTCAATCAGATGCAACACATATAAAAACAAATTATCAAAAAGTGAGAAGGGTCAAGTGACCCTTGTAGGCCTTAATTGGCTCCGCCTATGGGGGTGATCATGGTCCGTTTGGTTCAATTTGAACTGCAAACCGTACACATACCCCCAATAAGACATGACAATCTAAATTGGTTGGTTCGGTTTAGGTCATAAACAAATAGCACAACTGAACCAAACGATGTGCCCGGTTTGGTTTAGTCATTTCCTCCATTACATATATCAAAGAAAGTATTATATCGGTAAATTGAATAATAATTGAGAAAAACTTTTAATATGTAAAATGGTGGAGATAATCTGAGTGAGAGAGATGTCCTCAAATTCAAAAGGGTTCATATGAATTTCAATTTTTGATATCTAAATGTTTCCTATCATTAGAAATGAAGCATGTGGAATATGGTAACCAATTTCGACACACCCGAATCAAATACAAAATTCCAAAATCCGAAAATTCCGAATATTTTTCTGTAAGCTAATATAGTAAGGGAAAATAGCAATTATAAATCATATAAAAACAAAAAAATAAATAAAATCCTCTCTAATACTTTATCTTCTTATTTATTATCACTTCTCCAATAATATAAGAGAACAAGGCCAATTACTCTATCTTTCGATCCGCCATCAATATATTATATAGTTTAGTTAATGTCTCCAGAAATGACAAAGCTGTTGTGACTTCTGGATGGTGTGATTGGGCGATTTGAAAATATTTAAGAGTGTTAATGCAAACTAAAGTACTTAACTCAAGTTTAAATTTCGATTAAGAAAAAGATTGATGTGTCCTTCAAATAAGCTTATTTGAGGGATCTCTTAATGTAAACTCTCTGTATATATATAATATTCAACATTGAAGATATATATCCAACTCATTGCAGGCATTCATATTGTCACATCCACGTGTATAATTAACATGTAACAACAATAACTACAACTCCACACGACGAGATATAGAATCTTGTGTGAGCTAAAGGCAAGTGGCTTAACTCTTACGTACGTAGTTTTGATTGAACATTAAAATTTGATGACAGCTATCGTACTTGACTAAACAGATGTTCCATATTATCTAATGCCTGGGTGCAACCATTTACTGTTGCTTTTGATATGGATGTTTGGTCAATTTCTTAATTAATTATTTGTTTAAGTATGTAGTTTCTGGAAATCTAGCTGGCAATTGTCTAACTTTCTCAAACTGTTTTGCATAGCACAGCCAACACAAGCAGAAATTTTTTTCTTGTAACGGGAATAACACTGTTTTGCTATTTCCGGTCAATAATGTAATGACATATGAAAAAGTTATTCCGCATGTTATTGCGCTATTGACTAGGAATAACAAAAAGTATTATCCCCGTTGCATGAAAATCTCTCTCTATTAAGTTGCATCTTGCATGCATGTATGTGTCATGTGTGTGCTTGTCTCTCTTTGAATGAGATATATATATTATTGGCTCGTTTCCTTACGACTTAAGTCTTTCGATAAAGTGATAATTTTCTATAAGTTATACATATAATTTCGGCATAGAAGTTCAACCAAGGCATTATTTTATTTACTGAGGGTAGCTTCTGGTGGGAGCAAGTAGAACACAAATAAGACAGACATTTTTACTCATTACAAAATCATACAATTGGTCCATTTTTCACTCTTTGAACTAAATTAACAACAAAACAAGACAAGGGTATAGCTATTAGCTGGTTGGTGCATCCGATGTGACATTTCTTAGATAGAATAACAATTTAATTTAAACTAAATGTACATGGGGAGGAACAACACAAGACTTGCCTTTGTCTCTTGTCTCATCCTTCATCATCCTTATAACGCCGACCCCAATGCGATGCCATATGTTTTAGCAATCACACGAAAGGAGGGATGGAGGGAGCAACATTTGAAAATCAAATTCAGCAATCATCATTCATCAACCTTTTCAGTATACTCTAGTGTTTTAGTAATGGCGGACTATTTTGATTCAAATTCTCGCCAAAAGATTGTAAAGCAGCAACAACAAAGAAAAGGTAAAATAAAAGGACCCCACGAGTGCCGAAAGTCCATTATGACCACCAAATTTAAAATAATTAATTCAGTTCATTGGTATTTAAAAGTAGCTAAGATTGCAAATTTGTATAATCCCTTGCTTGCTTGCCTCCTCCTCATCTCTTGCTCTTACTTGTACAATAATGTCATCAATGAGTACTGGAAGCTCTGTGTGGCAGTGTTCAGCTGGTAAAGATCAATTCAATTTCCATCATCATCATCAAGTGATGGCCTCTGGCTCTGGCTCTGCAGCTGATGATCAGTACCAAACATGGAGGGCAGTGGCATCAAGGCTTGCACTTGACAATCAATTCAGAAATATGACAGAAAGACCTGAGTATTACTCAAATGCAAATATTGATCAAGAAGATGAGGAGGAGGAAGACTTGAATAATAATAATTATTATTGTTATTATAGGAAGATTAATTTCAACAATAATCTTAATATGCCTTTGCGATTGAGATCGTCAGAGGAGTTGAAAGGTGGTCAGCAGCAGCAGCAGAGTAACACTAGTCATGATAAGTGGCATAAGAGTTTGCCTCAGGCTGAAATGCTGCCTAGGAATGAGGTCTTGGGTGGTTACATTTTCGTGTGTAACAATGAGACTATGCAAGAGGATCTCCATCGCCAACTCTTCGGTAATTTCTCTCCGCTCTACGGTCTACCTGATTAATTACTAACAGTTTCTGCATCCATCCAGATTCCATATTCATCTTTGTTCTACATTTCTTGTAATTTCTGTAGATATATAGGTGATCATGGACATAACATTCCTTGAGTTTTCTTTATCTTCTTCAAGTGAATAAGGAATGCAGTTGTGCAAAATGTTACAAATCTGATTTATTATTTTTGCAGGGCTCCCACAGAAGTATAAGGACTCTGTTAGGGCAATAACCCCAGGCTTACCCCTCTTTCTTTATAACTACACAGCCCACCAGCTGCATGGAGTATTTCAGGTTTGCCTACTTTCTCTCTGGTGTCTGGATCCTTTTAGAAATTATTAGATTGACTCATTTGTCTTCTTTTTTTGAATTTTGAAAGGCTGTAAGTTTTGGAGGATCAAACATTGACCCAACAGCGTGGGAAGACAAGAAGTGCAAAGGAGAATCAAGATTTCCAGCTCAGGTTTGAATAAGTTATATATATGTAACAACAGCTAGCAGCATTGAGACTGAATAGGTTTGACATGAGAAGTTGAATTGGTTTCAGGTTAAAATTCGAGTGAAGGAAAGGTGCAAACCATTAGAAGAGGATGCTTTCAGGCCAATACTTTACCACTATGATGGCCCTAAGTTTCGTTTACAGCTCTCTGTGCCTGAGGTCATTTTATTTCTTTACAACTTGTTTTCTTTTTATCATGCTATATATTTCAGACAAAATTGATGTAGAATTAGTCTTTTATGCCCATAAACAGTGGCGTTTTGAAAAGTACTTAATATTTGGCTTGGCTTTTTAATAGTTGGACTTGGATTCACTGCAGGCACTTGCATTGTTAGACTTATTTAAAGAAAAGAACCTCTAAGGAGATAGCAGCAGACATATCCACCGACATTAAAAGGAGTAGGAAAATCAATCCACTGACATTAGCGGCAGCATAGAATGGTTATGGTTGTTTTCACAATGTCGCCTGATGAGGATGAGAAATGAAGATTAGAGTTGAAAATGTATTTAGCAATGGGACAAGTATGTAACATAACATGCAATCAATGAAAGGTCCTTCCATTAATCAACAATATAATTCAAAACATTTGCAATCCATGGCTGTCTTTTGTCTATATATTTTTACAAATTGGTAATTTTTTTTAAATTTGAACTCGTGCGTGCTTCATAATGAAATCATATTAAACTTATGGCTAATATCAAGAGGTAACATTCTCTCAAGTTCATTGTAGATATGCATGTTTTATTTTCTTTTGGAAGGAAGTAATGCACGTTTTATTTTAACCATAAAATAAGGTATAAAAAGGAGGAGAGAAGCACAACACACACCATGGCAAGAGCAGGGGACAAATTACCCCAAAAGGGAGAGCACAAGAAAGAAAAAAAGCACCAAAGCAACACAAGACCCTAAACAAAAGGGTCTTAGACTTTCGAGAAATACCATCACAAGATTGAAGAGGCCACAAGTAAAACCACGGGAACCTTTACCCACAAGCCAATTTGATCATGTTTGCCACTCTACTTCCGAGTCATTAAACATTGCAAGGGCTTTAGTTTAACTGCTTTTGGGGTTTAATTAATTGATAAGCATAATAACTCATTCACATGATTATACAATACTATGGTAATACGGTCCGTGGTACTATCTTGTACAGCCCTCCCTAAAAAAAAAAAATTTGCAACTGCATGCTCATAAATAAATATATAAATAAACAACTAAATAAATATATATATATATATATACACACGTGTGAAATTTGCATAAATATCACCTGAACTTTTGGGCATATGAGCTAATATCACTTGGATTTTGAATTTTTATTTTTAACAACTGAACTTTGTAAAGTGTTGTAATTCACAACCTATGTCTAACTCCGTTAAAATTTCCGTTAAGTTTAATGGCATTTCCGCCAACTCACTATAACTAAAAATAATTATAAAAAACAGAATTTTTTTTAGAAAAAAAAAAAAAAAAGGTTAACCTAATTGCACCACACCTTCCCTACCCTTTTTCAATGCCAATTCTCCCCCTCACTCTCATGGGGAGCTAAAGATTCAAAACTCATTTTTATCTTTTTATACAAAACTTTAGAAGAAAAAAATTCAGAAACTCATCCATCATTTGGACCACCTGTGATATATACCGTTAATTTAGGCTTTAATTTTAATTTAGCGCATAGGCATAGCCACAGCATGCTCATTCATGGATGGGTTGGTGATTGTAATTAGGTTAACTTTTTGTGTGTGTGGAAGTTATGGTGTAATCAGGTTAACTTTTATATTTTTTAAATTTTGTTTTTTTTTAATAATTATTTTTAGTTATAGTGAATTGACAAAAATGCCCTTAAATTTAACAGAAACTTTAACGGAATTATATATAGGTGGTGAATTGCAACACTTAAAACCCAACCCACTCCAGATTTGGCCTTTACTAACCAGCATCTCCTCCGGTGAAAGCAGGTAGCAACAAGAATTCATGTAATTTCCCATTTTTGTATTATATAAATAATTACAACACCTAATTTTGGTCTTTGGTGGTGGAGAATGGACGGGCAGTGTGTGAGGGGGAGTTCATGGTATATCAAGGTTTGGGTTGGCTATTGTGGGTGTTGATTTGGTATAGCGGGTTGGAATATGGAGGAGGCTGAATCTGGGGGTTTGGTGCAATGGAGGAGGTGGTGATTTTTTTATTGTTTTTTGGTTTTTTAATTTTTAATTTTTTTTAATGGTTTAATAATTTTTTTAAAAATATTTTTGTATTTATTCCAAGTGGCGTCATATCATTGGATATATGAGACCCATATGTGTACCGCATCATCAGTTTAACAGATTTTTGAATGGAACATAACAACAGGACTATTTGTGAACAAGGTATTAACCTTAAGAATCACGATTGACAAAAACAAAAGGCAAAAAGTCACTTTTAGTCCTTGTAGTTTCTCACTTTTACCACTTTGGTCCCTGTCGTTTCAATTTGGTCAATTTTGTCCTTGTAGTTTCAATTTGAAGCAATTCAAGTACAATCCTCAATTTCTGTCAAATTTTTGTAACTTCTGTTAATTATGGAGGGGCAATTCTGTCAACAAATTATTATTTTCTTTAACCTCCTAGCCCCACCCCTTCACCGTCACCCCAACCCAACCATCCCCAAAAACCATTGTCCATCGACCACCACCTAGCCATCGCCAAAAACAAACGTCCACCCAAGGGCGGAACCAGAAATTTTTCAACGGGTGGGCTAGCTAAAGTTATTAGCTTTAAAATTTAGTGATTATTTTTTTTTGGTACTTACAATTTTTATAGTCTTTCTAGAAATAAAAGTAAACATTAAATCATATAAACCAAGCTAGTTCATAGCTCCATAGACTAATTTTCAATAAGTTTTAACATAAACCAAATAAGGTTTAACACCATATTTTTAGCCTAAATCGTATTTTGCACTAAAACCGATTTTTCATATTTTGATTTAGTGGGAATTTGATTTTCTAGTATTTTTATTTGAATCCAAATGGGGGGTACTTCCTTATTTACATTGTAAACTTAAGTAAATGGAGTAATATAAAAATAAATAAAAGTAAAATGACAAAGACATTTACTTAAATGTTGAAAATGGAAATAAGGTAATCTGTACAGCGCCACTGACTGGGCTAATACTGAAAATAAGTTAAATATATATATAAGTTTTATATTTTTTTTCTTAAAAAACCACACTGGGCTACAGCCCACTGTAGCCCTTAGTGTGGTTCCGCCCCTGCGTCCACCGACTAAGCACCTAGACATTGCCCACCATCCATAAACTTTCTTCTCCGACCAAACAGTAGGGAAAATGCCCTCACAGAGATCCATTCCCAACACCCATTCCTACCCATATGTCTAGCCCCACCCCTTCCCCCGGAAAATACAAAACCTAGCCCCACGCCGCGCCCACCCCATTCCCATCCTCAGCCAACTTCCCTCTTTCCAGATCTGACGATGTAGTTGGACCCTGACGACCTTTTGGAGCTCATGGATTCTTCTTCTTCTTCTTCCCACTAGCTCATGCAGCGACAACATCTCGTCGTCTCCATCATTATCATCATCGTTAACGACATCAGCAAGGTCTTCGTTTCTCCAATGCTTCTCTACCGCATGAGACAACATGGGAACCTTCATCAGAGCCAAGCTCTCGAACTTTCTCGAAGTCCGCATGGGATGCGACTGTTTGTGCAAATAATCTCACGAGAAAATATTCACTTCTAGATCCTTCAACCTTCGATCTTCCTTCTCTATCTTCCTCGATTCCTGTAAAAAAGATTGGAGTAAATAGACCACAACCGGGGTGTGTTGGCCAAAGGCCCTCCGATGCCTAAGTTAGTTCGAGTGTTTGTAGGAAAACAATAGCTAAGCAAAGGGTACGGAGTTTATGTATGGTATGAACTGGGGGGCCGGAGCCGTGTAGAGAAAATATAGAGAGTGGAGAGTGGAGAGGAAGAGAGAGCTTCGGGTATTTTTCTCGGGTTCTGGAGAAGGTTTAGATGTACCTTGAATGATGAATGAAGTAGCCTATTTATAGGAGTCTCGGGGCTAGAGTTTCGTAGAGAATATGTTGAGTTTATTCTCTACCCAAATTCGTAGGGATTAATTCGCACGGATTGAGTCGGTCTTAGATAATATCTGATTTAATGATATTATCTTCTCTTTATTGAAGATAATATTTGAATTAAACGATATTATCTCTTTTTATGAAGATAATATATGAATTAATGATATTATCTTCTCTTTATTATGATAATATCTAAATTAATGGTATTATCTCATTAAATAAAGATAATATCCCATTAATTAAGATATTTATCCCAATTAATTAATTGGCCAGATAAACTGGTTCAATTAATTAATTTAAGAGATAATCTTCTTTTTCACGTGGCGTGCCCTGATTGGAGACGGAAATATTTGCTCTCACAGTGACTGCGAAGATCTTGGAATCGAAGGGATGTGCTTTGACGATGACGAAGATCTTGGCCTCGTTGAGCTCCTCATTGGTGGCGGCGGAGGAGGGTGGCAAGAATGAGAAGAAGCTGAGCAACCGATCCGACGATAGTGATCGTTGGTGACAAAAACGGGTTGAATCCATTGTTTAGAATTTTTTTTTTTGAGAGAGAGAGAGGAAGAAAAAGCAACGGTGGCAGCTGAGGAAGGTGGCGAGAATGAGAAGAAGCTGAGCAACCGATCCGACGATTGCGATCGTTGGTAACAAAAACTGGTTGAATCCATTGTTTGGATTTTTTTTTTTTTTAGAGAGAGAGGAAGAAAAAGGGGGACACGCCATCCCCACCCTCATGATCACCTCCTTCATGCTTGATATGAACCCTCTTCTCATCTGGATTTTTTCTTTTTTGTTGGACTTTGGGCGGGCTTGGATGGTTGGGGTCGTGGTTGGGCGACATGGAGGTGGTGGCTGACTAGGGTTGGGTGGGAATTAATTTTATAAAATGAATAAATTTTTTAATAATTTTTGGACTAAATTTGACAAAAATTTAGGATTGTCCTTAAATTGCTTCAAATTGAAACTACAGGGACAAAATTGACCAAATTGAAACGACAGGGATCAAAGTGATAAAAGTGAGAAACTACAGGGACCAAAAGTGACTTTTTGCTAAAAAAAAAAGGGAGTTTCACTAAAACACCCAAAATGGGGGTTGAAATTATAAAAAAACCCAAACACTATTTAAACATATAAACACACCCAAAACCCATCATTACACACACTCAAAACCCATTTATAAACACACCCAAAAAGTTGACTTTGGGGTTGATTTTGGGTGTGTTTCTATGTTTAAATAGTGCTTGGGTTTTTTTATAAATACATGTCTAGGATTGGGTTTATTTATAAATTTGTA